TATATCGTAAAAACCTAAAGAAATAACATTGATATATATTTAAATAAGTTAATAAAAAAGACAACATATTTTCATATGTACTAGAATTTTTATAGTAACAGATTTGTATAAATATTATTTCTCATACATACAACACCAATGGTTTTGTTTTCAGCACTGATGTGAAGTCTCATAACATTCGAGGACTTCTGGTACTCATTCCTAATTTTCGAAACCAAATTCCAAAAACAAGTCTTCAAAAAAGTCTTCATTCGGCAGTAAAAGCTGTTGCGTCCTTAACAAAACCGTTTTTATTTTAAATAATGGAACTATCACTTGCAGATGATCGCGTTATGAATATTTACTGCTTTCCATGCGGATTATTATAATAGTTTATCAATCTACTGAGTTTCTATCACCAATTTAAAGAATTCAAAAAGGGAGAGTTATAGATTGATTTTATTAAAATCATTGAAAACTGTTTTCTTTTTTAAGAATGTAACTTTTTACTACACGAACTGATAACAAAGGATCAGTTACAACTGTAATGCACCTGTTTGCAATAATATGACAAGAACAAAAAAATTATTGAAAACACATTAAGACACAAAAAATATATTTCTCTATGGAATCCCACACAATTCATCATAGTCAAAAAGTAGATCGTGTCAATTAGCGTGAAGAACATTTCAAAATGTTTAGCGGCTGTGCATCAACTGTCATATATGAATATAATGTCAACACCATATATGAATCTGTATATAATATATTTATTCAAAATACGACAATACGACTTTTTTTAAATAAAGTAAATCCAACTAAACTATGAATAGGATACTTTTTTGTGAACGAGTAAAATATAATTTATCTAATATTAATTTTGGTCAATAAGCCGTTATGGATACACTTTAAAAAACTGAACTGAGCTCTAAATTTTAACAACTTTCGTGAATATTTAAGGTTGTATCATACTATTAACATACTTGATGTTTACTTTCAAGACTGAAATTTTTGATATATCACGCAATCTTGGAGAATATGTAACGCCTCTATTTCTGTCGACAATATAGCTGTTAAACACTTGGTTTCATATTCGTTGATTTTCCTAACAATATAACTTGAACGCAGTCTTAAAGAAATGAAGCTACGAAAAATAAGTCGCTTTATATATGGTTCTATACCGGGCGCCAATTTATTATCTTTATTATAACGTTTTTATGAAACAATTTTTCTTTTATTATGAACCGTTTTTCTATAATCATCTTTTAAAGTAAGCTTTCCTACCATTTTTTTTCAACAAAAATAGACACTTTTGTTTAATAGGAATTATACACTCATAAATAAATAAAAGCATAAGCCAATTAATATTTTACAATAATGTTTTCTACAAAAATTATGGAAAATTTGTCATGAAAATCATTTTGAACTACCTGAACCTCGGAATCTATGTTAGCTTAAATCTTATTTTAGAGAAGTTTCGAAAAGTAGTGAACTACAACAACAAAAACTATTTTTATATTATTTTTATTAATTGAATTTTTGGGTGATCATACAGCTGTTTCGAGTATTGACAAATGTTCATCATCGCGTATTGACAAATATCATGTATTATATTATAATAATATATTATATATTACATTATTTATTTATCATGTTACAAAATAATATTAATTATATATATTTAATTGAATAAAGACTTTTATATTTCTGAAGCTATTTTAATGAAGAGTTTTAAAGACATTCCAGGGTTCTTAATTAAAAGTTTTTTTTTGTGTGGACTGTTGTTTAAAAACTTTAATAAATCTCAATAAAAATAGACCCTCCTTCTAACGATTTAATTATAATACTTTGTAAAAATGCATGTATACTATATAGTATACCTTATTTATATATATCAATACATAAGTCATTTATTAGTATACATTACTCAAATAAAATCAATAAGCTCGTTTTTATACCTATACGCATATTTAGATGTAGGTATATATATGTGTATATATATTTATAATATTTATCTGTAAATTTGAAATTATTTAACATTTCATGTATACTTATAAATTAATTTTGTATATATTTACAAACAAATCTACAAATTTTTGTTTATACATTTTGTAAATTTTAATGTAATTTTATTTTATTTTAAATATTTATGCTACGCATTTCGTTTAAATTCAAGCTAAAAAGCTAATCAACCTTGTACTTCTTTACTCTAAAAATTCACAGCTTGAGAACTTTCAAAAGACATATTTAAATGTATAGACATATACCTATATATGTAAAATTAATCCCGCTATGGATTTACGTAAAATGAAGGCGTGGGTGTGTAGTAAGTTGCATAACTATGCAACTTTATTGCAAGGTTAGCTTTGTAAATATTGCATAGCAACACTTCAAACAAATTTAAAGGATAATAAACAAGGACGCTCACAAAAGCCCTCATAAAAATGGTAAAATTGTATTGCACGAGTACACCAGTTCTGAAAGTCATTTTGCTCCAACGCACGGAGACGTGATTGTACACATTAATGCGCGATTTGATCCATGATATTCGAGTAGCGTTTAAAATTTGAAGTTTTGGACGAACATTTGAACAATTTTTCACGTATATTACACAATTATTTCTCAAAGACACAAATAAAGCGGAAAAGATTGTCTAAAATCCCTTGAAGCATTCGGTAAAGAACAAAGTTTAGATAAATTCGTTAACTCACTTTTAACTATTTACAGAAGTTTGCATGACTGCTTTTAACGATTTGGATACATTTTCATCCTTCTTTTTTATTTTGCTGATTCGTTAATATATCGATTTTTGTATTAAGTCACACATTTTGAATAAACTTATAAAGGTTACAAATATGTAAAAATTTACAAAAAAAAAAACGAGAATATGCAAATATATGAAAACTTTTTATGTTAGGCAAGTCAATATATAGTAAAAAATGTTCTTAACTAAATCATAGAAATCTATACTACACAACTTTAAAATTAAAATCTTAAATCTTAAATTTACTCAAATAGATGGGTCTAACAGAATTAGCTATTGAAATTAAATTCCAGCAAATGTTTTTTATTTATGTATTATTATGTATAAGTATATGTATTATTATGTATAAACACATAGTTACAAAGTTCGTGGTACATTGCTGAATCCATTTTACATTTAAATGGATAAGTTAAAAATAAAAATTTAAGTTATTCAAAATTAATAATAAAACAATGACAAAAAAAATTATTGTATTTTTCAACATTTTTCTACATCAATTATAAATTTTATAAACAATGTGTACATATATTTATCCACTATGTACTATTTACTATTTATGTTCTATGACCAAAAGGAAAAAATTGTATTTCCTTTTTTTACGATTTTAATTAGCAAATGTATAAAAAATTATTTGTTAATGAACTACAAAAAAAGTGTTTCAAACATACATATATGTATCCCTATGAAGAACTTTCAAGACCACCCGTGCATGATAAGTCAATTAAATGTTATCAGAGGATAACTTTTTTAACAGAAATAAACAAAAATGATATTTAAATAAAAAGTTTAGTAAGAATTATTTTTTCCTTCATTTTTAATTGTTAAAGCAACTTTCAGTAAAACAAAGAAAAATAAAATAAAAGATATTTTAAAAAAAACTCGTCCACAATATCCATAATATTGGTAAAGTTAAAGTCCTTCACGCTCACAAACATATTTTCACCTAATGGAAAACCTTTATAAACGTAAAGCGTGTTGTTTTGAGAAATTGTACAACAATCTTTTGAAAATAAAAAACATATTTATAATTTTTATTATCTGAAAATTATACATATATTACAACTGTTGTGGGTTAGATGAAGTTATAGACGCGGCCTTGACGCACCAAAACCAACTTGAGCACAATAATGCGATAACATGGATAACATTACTCGCCAGATCAGAAAGACAACCACAGAAGATATAAATATCTAGCTCAAAGAAAATCACGTTTCTTAAAACCCTAATGTTCGGTTACAACAATTGAAGTTAACACAATAGATGGCCTGAAATCGCTATGAATAGTATTCTCCACTTAAAAATAATAATGTGATGTCCACTAATATCCACATTTTAAAAATAAGAACTAAGACTTATGGTCTAGATTAGAAAAAAACAAAACAAAAAGTCTTTTGGGCTTCAGTAAACATGTAGTTCATGTACTTTCTAGAGTACTAACGAGGCACTATGCCATTGCGCCTATGCTTGAACTGTGGCGAGTTCTAACAAGTGAATTAGGCAGAGATTGTCAAGATGAGGATTAGGTAAAATTTATCAACCACTTTCTGTGTGCCTCTGTCCAGAACTCCAGACAAGGCGACTTCAATGTCTTGTGGACCGCTTTTTCACTGGCCTGGCAGAGTTAACGAAAGTAAACTTATCGAATGTCCTTAACTTCATCTGGAAAACCAAATGGTTTAACAAGGATAGTACACGAAAATAAAAAAGGCTTGCAACTCGCCTCTCTCGGCAAAATCTCTGAGGCCATCACAATAGGCAATATATGTCTCCGAGTAGAAGTACTGATAACTGTTAGCACGCGCCTTTTCAACCTAACCTAAACTAACCATCTATGTGAAACAAAAAAAAATTGAATAAATGTGGACTCCTTTATGCTCCACAGAGACACATACGTCCTATAAAGTAACTCATAAATGGAAATAAATGTGTGTTTGTCTTAATTGGTTCTTTATAAGCCATTTTCATAATATGGGTAACTTCTCAAAAGCTTATCGTCCTAAAGGGATTAAAAGTTTTTGTGTAACATCGATTAAATAAAAATGGTTAACTTTACACATCAATGTACATAAATATCCTTTTCAAAATTACATATATAAAAAAGTTTACATATGTTAACTGTTAACATCAAAAGAACTTAACAACAAAACAACAAATTTAAAGTAATTATGTACATAGGTATGCACAAGTATTATGCACAAATATATACAGTATTGACAGAATATAGATTTAATGTTTTTATATTTGAATGAAAACTTACCAATATTAACAATTCCATGATTGGTTAATTCCCAACATGATTGTAAGCGTAATATGCTAAGACTATGACTTTGTTTGGGTGAAAAGTAACCCAGAGCAGCATCTGTAACATGATAAGCCTAAAGAGAAAAAGCATGAATCATTAATCCGCACATTTAATTTTTAAATTTAATAATAATCAGATATAAGGAATACTTATAGTTAAAGTAGATTACTTGCCTGTAAAGAGAATTCATAAAGAGATGGCAACAGTTGCGCCACTGCACCCACAGCCTCATCAGCAATATTAATACAATCAGCCAGCGACAAAGAAACAATTCGTGGTGTCAGACATGCCCAAAGCCCCGCTTCGGTAACCTCGTTACAGCCAGCAAGTTCAAGCTCAAATAAACTCTGAAAATAAATATTTTTATTAACATTTAAGACTACACAATTTCTAACTTCATCAAAAATGTAAACTTGTTTGCGAAAAAAAAAATAAAAATGATGGTTTCTACCAAAACCAATAAATATACACATAACTTCAAATGGAAAAACCTCAATTGGTGTAAGTGCTTGCATTTTGGGGTAGGTAACCTTCACCCATTTTCGAAAAATTTCTGCTACAATATACAAAATTTTTGTTGGAAATTGTTGGTATTTTATCGATTGGCTTACATTCCCCGTGAAAATTTTGCAAACCTTTTGTGGCCAAGCTTTTGATTAGTCTACCTCAACACCAGAACTTTGCATTTTACATTGAAACACTCAACCATACGAGGTTCTTATACTGAACAGATATTTGCACAGACAGTTTATGTTCATGTAAACGCGATTTACTTGTGTAAATACTTATATCATCTATCTTAAATTTGGTCTGACCAATTTAAATATAATGTCTTTTTTGTTTGTTGAATTTATTCAGTATTCTTACTTTTAAATTATTAAACTATTCTACTTTAAAATTATTCGCTGACTGAATTTGATAGAATTTATTTATTTCCTAAATATGTATATATAAATTTAAAAAAAAATTTTTTTCTTAAATGCATTTCTTCATTAATTGTTTATTCAAAAATTGAATGTTATACAATCATATAAATTACAATAAGTTAGAAATATTGTATGCTATCTGTCTCTAGCAGTATGTACCAAGTCCTCACTTGTTCTTAACCCAGTCCAGTGTTGGATGTTCCTCAACCAAGACATTTGTTTTCTCTCATGCCGCGTTTGCCTTCGATTCTGCCTTCCACAATCAGTTGCAGCAATTCATATTTTGGACCTTGGATGATATGACCAAAATATCTCATTTTTCTTATTTTGATCATTTTTAAGAGTTCTCTATCTTTTCTTAATCTTGTTAGAACTTCTTCATTTCAAACGCTTCGATTTTGTTCATTGTTAGTATTTTTAAAGTCTAAGATTCCAAGCTACAGAGTATCATGGCCAAGACATAGCAGTTAACGTAGCAGATACGTAAGTTGATGCTGAAGTTGTTATTGCACGCCACCTTTTTGAATTTGTGAAAACGATTTCTAGCCTTCTCTAATCGACATATAATTTCTTGATCTAATGTCAACTTTTCATTTAGCCAGCAACCGAGGAATTTAAACTTAACTACTCGTTAAATAGCTTCAGTTCCAATTTTAATGTTACAATCGTTGTATGGTAGTCGTTTTTTACTGATAATCATGTACTTGGTGTTTTTGATATTCATGGGTAGGCCAAAATCACTACTCTTCACATTAACTTTTTCAAAAAGACGTTGTAGATCGTCTATACTATCAGCTATGAGTGTTGTGTCGTCTGCGTACCTAATGTACCTAATTTACATACATATATAGCTGTAGTTTATGCATTTGTTCTTACAGGAAGAGCAATTGGGATTTAAGAAATAACAACAAATTACCAAATCTCCAAATTTGAAAAGCGCAATGTAAATATGACATTGCTGCAGCACATTAGGATGTGGGGCCGCGTTTTAAATTTAACAGGACTTATCACCTGGTATTTATAGTAAAAACTATTTACAGACAATCAAACTAACGAATAATTCTAAAGATATAGGACAAAATCTGAAACCGCTGCAGGGTCAGCCAATAAATTTTACTTAATATCTAATTTATAATTTATAAATTTATAGTTTATATTTATTGTGTATAGTAATTTCTTAATAGCTTTACATACAAATTTATTTATATTTTTATCATAATAAATATAAACTATAATATAATATAAACTAAATTATTTTGGAATTAATATAACTAATAAGACAACAGCTTAATTTTAAACCATTAAAATATTTAACTCAAAATTACTTTCTAACAAGTAACTTAAATTTCAAAAGATAGTGAACCCGTCTGTTTTATAATTTTTTGGTACATATTTTCGCATAATTCACAGGTGTTAATAAATATATATACGTATATATTTGAATAATATTTACACTTCATATTATTTATATTAGTGCTCTTATTTGACGAGTGTGTGGGTTGCTTTATATGCTTTGCTTGAAATGCCACTTATAACTTTTTGAAAAACATTTCAATATATTATTTATTTATAAGATTCCTATTAGACACGTAACATACAATTTTAAGAATCACTAAGAATATATAAAATGAAAAGTTTCAGAAATCCATAGGTGCACATACGGCGTGCTGCCAACCAAACACCTTTGATTTAAAATTAACATTAAAATTTATACACAATTTTTGAAAAAATGATTTGCTCTAAATAAAAAATAATTCTGACCTTGCAAAATATTTAGAATTTTCATCGTATATTGTTTATTTTTAATATTTTTAGATACAAATGTGTGAATCTGTATTTTTAATGTCCACAACTGAACTCGGAAGTACAACGAACCTTTAGGTTTATGTTAACAGATATTTATTATTTATCATTATGCAAACCAAAAATTTGATAAAATGAAAATCTAAATTTTGATGTAAGTAAATAAAATGGTTTATCTCCATGCTCATCTGTATTCTATTTGAATTCACCTGTCAATTAATATCAACAATTTATATCCCCACAATTTATATCTATAAGATGCCGTTCTGCTACTTAAAATATGACTCAAATTTGATTGATATAAATAAAATTAAGTATAATTTCAATGCGTTACGCAGAAAACAATTTCGGTTATCTCAAGAATATAATTGAATAAAAAATAAAGTATTTTTATAAAATTTATTATGATTAGTTTTATATTATTATTACCTATCCTTATGCAGCGGTACAAGCTTTGTGGTTTTGAAAGTTAATCTAAATAAAACACACTTAAGACTGAGATTTCATAAAATTTTTTTTTATATATTATTTGGAAATCTATTAGGCGTAAAATACATCATGCAAATGTTACAAGATATCTCACTATACTAAATACTTTTGAGGTAGTTGTGAAATGGAAAACTTGAATTAAACAAATGATACTTTAAAAACTGTTCTGTGATAGAAACTATTCCGATTATAAATTTTATTTAGAAATAATTTAAATAAGGGTCGCGGCTTTGAAATCAAATCTATAAATGTTATACTGGTTCCACTTAAAAAGACTTAAGCTATCCATATATTTTCCAAACAATTTGACGTTTCACAATTGTAATTTAGTTGCAGTCTTGAAGTTTGGATATCCATACCTCGGAGCTTTTAAACTTGGTGTGCATTGTTAAAAAATTCGACTGAAAATTCAGCTATTAATCGCTATTAATCTTTCCTTTTTAAAGCTTTGCATTATATCCTTTGTGTTGCTTGCTAGAATCACTACTAGGAGTAGTAGTAGTAGTTTTATTTTAGTTCAAAAACAATATATTTCAATCTTAAAACTAAACTATAAATAAATAAATTACAAAATATTATGAATTATTATTAATTGTTTTTGTTGAACTAAAAGCATGGATTAAATGCCAACTAAGTAATTAATTAATTCGTATTCTATTTTATTTCAATCTAAACATTTTCATCCATTATTCTTTGCTTGTATCTAATTGCATCTTTTACAAAGCTAGCAAGTGCGGCCCAGTTTGTCCCATTTAATTCTTTCTTTTAGAATTGAACATAACCCAATAAAGTGTATTATGTCCTCAGGCTGGTCTAAATTACACAATAAGCAATAAATCACTACATTGTCATAATTGTTATAATTCTCTTTATTAATATCTCTTTATAAATTTCTTGAATGTGAGGTAAGTATTATTCTAAAAAAATTAAATATAATGTACAATAATATATTTCAAAACATGTTTTTGAAAGTAAGTAAAAATAACGTTTCATCACGACGCAATGAGCGAGTCACATCAACCCCGAACTATAAACAGCTCAATGAAGAAGCATTGACTAAGTGGCAACAAAGTTGGAACACATCCACGAAAGGAAGATGGACACATAAGCTCATACCGAAAATAAATGATTGAACCAAAAGAAAACATGGGCAGATAAATTACTACCTAACGTAGCTGCTAACTGGACATGGCTACTTCAGAGCATATCTCTTTAAGTTCAAATAAACGAGAAAGATGACACGTGCCCAGCGTGTACAGATACAAAAGGAACCATGGAAGATATACACTTCGATTGTCCGAGATACGAAAACCTTCGCAGCTTCATGACAAGAGTAACCAGAGAACAGGTCACACCTGATACTGCTGTCTACAGAAAACTGGAATCTGGTATGTGTATTTGCGAAAGAAATCATAGAAAGACAGAGAATAGCATATAAAGCTAGATCTGCAGAACTAGATGGCAGCAATCGTTCAATTAACACCCTCCAAAATAATGCTTAAATGTGGTTTTGAATGGATGTATGGCTAGAAGATGCACAGTGCTAGGATGGGATTTAATACGTAGGTGCAAATCAAGCCAAATAGTAAGTCTTGATTGCGAATTGTGCGTACTAGTAGCACGGGCTATCACTATCTTCTGAAGATTTCACATTCTTAGATCGCATAGCTTAAAAATAAAAAAAAATCGCGACAATACCGGTTGCATGGTGTTATACGGTTAAAACCTATAAAAAGGAACTCTTACTTCACCCACATATAGCCTAGACGTTACCTCTTCCAGTAATTGTTCAGAATGAACTTATTTTTATTAAAAAAATCTCATTATTAAGTCATGCATCCAAATTAAATTAGTATACCCGAAAATAACCATCAACATTTTATATATTTTTTAATAACATTTAGTAAGTATTAAAAGTTATATTAAAATTTCTGTATTCTGTTGTATATAATAATTAAATTAAATGTTAAAACGAAAGTAAAATAGCACAACGAAAACTTGAACCAATTATAGATAAACTAGATAAGAGATTTTTGGCAAACAAGCGAACAAATTGTTCTACATTTGGAAATTTTCTTTTGACCGAAATGGTTTCATATCTTTTTTAAAGGAACATCATAGTTTACAGC